GGATGACCTCGACCTCTCGGCTTATATGGGAGGAGCTTGGCTAACGAGGAATATGAGTAGATTATCAAAATCCAAGTCTAACCATGACAACAAGGATAAAATATAAATGCTACAAATGTGCAAAAACTTATATTACAAGATAAAATAAATTGAAAACTTATCTACATATTGAATAAATGCTAACGTTGCAAGTAACGTGCCATATTGAGAAGTGATGGGAAGTGCTGAAATCTTGTGTTGATTTACACAAGGACCATTATTACAGCAAACCCAAAAGAAGAAAGAATTTGCTATGTGACGAGTTCAAAAGTAGTCATGTCGACCAACTCGTCCCTCATCAACACCATATCCCACCTAACAGTAATGGAGTGGCCTGAAGATGAAGTTAAACTTGGGAGAACAACGTGATCAACTCAGCTAATGACACCAAGTTAAAGTTGTCAGGGGATTCTCGAGGAGTAAGAAGGAAGCTTACCTCCAATTAGGACTATCCTTCATGTGTGCTGCCAGCTTGACCAATACTATAAGGTATAGAATGGAGCTTACAAACTAGAAAAACTCTGAAGAAAGCTCAGAATACCACACAATTATCACGATTGAACGATTATATGTACTAATTTATTTTATAGTTTAAAGATGTGCACGTCTTTATCCTTTTTTCCGACTCATTTATTTCTTTTAACACAAGATCACATATGTGACACTAAAAGATCCAAGTTACTAAATTGTAACAAGAATAAAATCCCACAAACAAAGTTCATCTAGGAGGACCTCAAAGGCAAAGTATCAAAACTGAGCTACAATAGATAACTCAAAGCATTAGACCGAGCAAATTATTTTCAAGATGAATAATCAGTTGTAGGACTAATTTTGTCTAGGCAAATATATAATGGAAGAAAAAAAAAGCATGTAAAGGGAATAGCAAAAAGTAACAAAAGTTTGAGGCACAAACCTTCAACAATAATTTAAAGTTTAACCAATTTAAGTAAAACTATAAAAATGTGAGATCCATATTAAACTCGTTAAAAGTTAGTTAAAGTTATCCAAATTGACTTTTACTATTGGAATACAGAAAATCCCATCTCACACAGTTACAAAAGCTGAAATAAAAACCTAAAAGAAGTTTTAAGATCATCCTCATATTATAGAAGTAAGCACATAATACAGGTAAATAAATCAATATAAGACATACAATAATTCATTCTAAACTTGATCATCCAAGCTACCACACACAAGGTTAGTCTGTCAATCATTTATAACTAAGAAAAAACTCCTAAATTAGGACCTCCTGCTACTCTTCACGACATACCTCACCCTTCTCTACTTGATTTGATGACTGTTAAAGTGTCAAGATAACCCCCAATACGGAATCCCTACATCAATACATACTCTACAGAAAAGCCACCATAGAATCTCCCCACGAGATCCATGAAATTATACCAAACACATATCATATCCATAAACAAAAACAAACTTATTATCATCACAATTTCATATTTAAATAAAGGCTTAAATGCTTACTTGGTCCCTATGTCCAGTGATAATTTTTAGTTTAGTACCCAATTTTAAAAGTGCATACATTAGGTCCCTAAGTTTTCAAAATTGTATAACTGAAGTCCTATCCGTTAAGTTGGTAGAAACGACGATAAATGTTAATTGATGTGGCAAAATACATATCCAATGTGGAAAAATTTAAATACCATCACCTTCTCTCTCCCACAAAAGGTAATAATTTTAATCATTTTGAAAAATCTTAACAAATAAAGGTTTTATTGCCTAGAATCTTTTTCCAATTCTCTTTCCCTACAAAGACTCCCATCATCAAAGCGTAGATTTCACCCAAACTCTATCGATAAAACCGTTGCGCTTGTAGAAAAAATAAAATTTTTTCTTTGCTCCCATGGCTTCCTTGTGTCGCGGTTATTCGAAGACCCAAATGTGCTTCTTCAAGATTCTCCACATAATTTCGTCCACTCCACCCTCTACAAAACAACGAGAAGAACAACAAGAATCCTTTCCCAGCAAAGGGGTTGGCATCGATTTGAATCTCAGATTCTCTTCCCTTACAGAATCAAAATCTTCTAGAACCGACAGGGCCTCCGCCACGCTTCTGAACAACATCGAAGAAGAGCAAGAAGAAGGGTTTCCAGGTAAGAGCTTTCAACTTTCAGAGAAACTTAACGACAACCAAAATCTTAACAATGAAGTTAACGACGTTCAAACGTCATTTCAGGGATGCGATAGTAATTTTCTCAATTTGCTTATAAAAGCAACGAGCGTCGTCTCTAGAAAAGACGAGTCCAACTCGGAGGAAGAGAGGGGACTTGGTATTGAGTCAACGACTCAAAAAGTAAATCAAGAGAAATGGAAAGAAAGGTCGGTGGTTTTTGATATATACGGTGGCGTTTTGGAGGAGAAAGAACCAATGGTCCGATCCAAGCGAGGGAGGAATCAAGCGTTGTCGTATCGATTCAGAGACTCGGTGGTTGAACCGTTGAAACACGCCACTCGTTCTCAGAGACCGTCATCAACCTCACACCTTACAAAACAACTTCTTAAGGAAGAATGAAGCAATGCTAAGATTTCCATGGAAGAGAAAGGAGTAACCTGCAGCTCCACCATTCTAGAAAAAAGAGAAAAGGAAATTGGGGATTGGGGTTTGCAAACCCGCGAGAGAAAGAGAACCAAAATTGGGGATTTATTTCCCCAATTAAAAACTAGCTCCACCATTGTAGAACGAAGAGAAAAGGAAATTGGGGATTGGGGTTTGCAAACCCACGAGAGGAAGAGAACCAGATTTGGGGATTTATTTCCCAATTAAAAACCCTAAACTTTCAATATATACGTAACCCAAAATCTGCTTGCTACGAGATCATTTCTTGCATAGCTCACATCTACAGTAACCTCAATGTTATCAATTTTAACACCATTAAACGGATAGGACTTCAATTATACAATTTCAAAAACTTAGGGATGCAATGTATGCACTTTTAAAACCAGGTACTAAACTGAAAATTACCACTGAACATAGAGACCAAGTAAGCATTTAAGCCTTAAATAAACTCGATACATGTCCACAATCCATGAAGCATCAACGATTCAAAATAAGCATGCATTGAATCCATATATAAATCACTTCAAAACAAAGAATAATTAGAAAATCACAAAAAACATTAACACTCAGACTAACGCTTAGTGCAAAACCCCTCGCAACATGGAGCACTCAACACTAAAGCTCTCGCATCTTCATCTTCAGTGGTAATTGACACTCAACCGTACCTTGTCATTACTCAACGCTAAACCATTCGATATTTTTGGTCGCTCAGTGACACAAACCTAGTGCTCAGCGGTCTGGAGCTGAAATGCTCCTAGACCTTCACTACAAATCGATCACTCAACGCTATATTAGGGCTGCTAAACGCCATACCAGAAAACAAAAATTTCAACACTTTGAATTGGTGAACCAGAAACCTGTTCAAATGACCAAATTGGTAACTCTGATGCACTGAATGATACAAGAATATGTTTAGGTGTCTGAATGAATACCAATTTACTCAAATTGCCAGATTTTCAATCTTTCAACTTAACACCCATAAGACAATTTCAAACCACACAAAATTAATTCACTCCATCATATTATTTAACCATTAAACCATCAATTAGATAAACAAACAATGATAACTCTTAAAGAGAAGTCAAATAATTCTAAAAAAAATGATTTATAAAAAAAATAATGTTTTAAAAGAATACAATTCATTTGTAATAAATTCTTTATATTAAAACTATTTAATATTAAAATAATAAAATTTCAGTATTTTTAAACCACTGTAATTTTCTAAATCTTTACCCTTTCTCTTTTTGTCAATTAACTTTATTAAGAACGGCTTTCGAAAATTCTTCTTAGAATCAGTTCTATAATTTGATGTATTGAGTTTTTAACTCGAGAAACTCAACAAAGATGAAATGTCAAAATTTTGCATCTTCATTTCTTTTCTTTTCTACAACTTGATTTAGAAGTCTCAAACTCGTCAATTTTAATTTCTGAACAATAGGATTCTTTTTTCGTTTTTGATCATCATTCTTGTACTGTAGTTTAGATAATATAACAACCATTGAATTTACTCCACAAATTGTAAGTATAAATATATTATATTTTTGGTTCAGCCAGTGACTTTGTGGGAGGAGAGGGTGGAGGGAGAAGTTGGCCAGGATGGTGTCGGAGCATGTGGAGGCAATGACAGTGGGATCCCATGCCTGGAAACATTTATGGTAGCGGAAAGCAATTGCATAACTTAGATTCCTCCATTGTTATCTTAGATGGAAATCCAACAATAGAAATGTCAATAAATTTCAAGACGTAAATTATCAAGCTAAACAAGTTCGAATCAGATTAAACTAAAAAAATGTTAAATGTAAGTTAAATAGATTTCAACCAAACTAAGTCAATTTGGTAATCCACCAACAACTGTTATTAACTTTTATCATTTTTTATAAATTTTTTATTATAATTATTTCATTAGATTGACAAATTGAAAAATTTTAAATACAAAAATATTATTTTATAATATTTGAATAATTTAAATATTTAATTTATTTATTTGTCAAATTATATAAATTTTCATTTTAATTTTTCACTACTATATTTATAAGTAAACACTTTGTATTGTTATAAAAAAACTTGAATTAATCCACATTAATTGTTCTTCACTAAATATACATAATATTCAAAACAATAAAATATTTTTAAATATTTTCAACTATTAATTTTATAATAATATTTAATAAAATATGCAAACAATTTATATTTATATAAAAAAATAAATTGAATCAATTCACCTCATACTTCAATAAATATATAAAATAATTTAAAAAATAAAACATTTTTAAGTGACATTTTTAAGCGATAGATCAAATCATATAGAATTTCTTGCTAGTCAAAAGTGTATTAAGTTTAATAACTCATTTTTAGTTCATGTAAGCCGAATTAGCTAACTTTAACATTGGTATCCAACATCTACTTTATTGAACACTATCAATCAAAACGGTTACAACGGTAAAATGTTTCATTTCCAGGAATCTATTACAACAGATGAAAAACAAATTTGGTCACAGGGTAAACTTACAGTCACAATGAAATTTCAATCATTTACAGTGGTTGGAGGGGAAAAGATCTAATCTTGCATACATGCATGTGAATAATCTGTCAGTCCTCCAAACTATTGAACAGAAACATGGACCAACATCTAATTCAGCTATACATACTAATCTACAACACTGTTTAACCATGTAGCAAGACCAAAGAGACATGCTGCCCAAGGTTCTGCACAGAATTCCCCAAATTAAAGTTGTAAAAATGTCCATTCCCACGGTTTGGTTTTGCGCATGTATATATTGTTATATTATATACACACAGAGACCTAATCTAATGCACAACTCCATGCCCAGTAGCTAAGAATGTTTCCTTTCCCATTTCCCTTCACGTCTGCTGTCTCTGTCCCTACGTTCTCCAAGTTGCCTTGACTTGCTTCCTCTTGAACTGTGCCTTTGAGAACCGTATCCACTAGACGGGCCTTCAAATGCTGAGACTAATTCCGGATCTCCAATGCTGCTGGTGTCCCCTGAATCCTTGCTTCCGTCAACATTTTCTTCGTACATGCTGCCGGTGTCATCCTGTCGGTCACGCGACTGTAAAATAGTAGGAAGTTGTCCCGTGAATGTCCGAGATCCTGAAAGAACTATAGTCGGTGAGGGTACAATTGATGAGCTGGTGGAAGGAATTTCAGACTGTAAGCTTCCACTACCAGCTCTAGTGCTCCCTTCATTACCAGATCTTCCATTTTCTCTTTCGCGGAATCTATCCCTGGGTCGGCTGAAACAAGTTGAGAAACCCAGAAAACCACATGAAGCAATTTATAATGCCAGCCTCGAAACTAACAATGAGTCAAGTATTTTAAGAAAAACACAACAGAAGAGGATGTAATAGTAGCTAAGAGACCAATAGAAAAGGACTCAAACTTTTAAAATGATTCTTGGTCCATGGCATGGGATTTTCAGGTCAGGTCACATGTTAGGCCACATCAAAATTACAAGCCACTTCTACAGATAATTATCCCTCTCCCCCCTTGAAAAATAAATATTATTCATTAGGAAGGAAACATAACCAGAGCTGACAATGATATTCTTCGAAAGACAAAAACAAAACTTAAAACAACACAACCAAAAAAGAGACAGGAAGGAAACTGCCATTACTGCGCCAAAAGGCCAAAAATACAGCTAGAAGTCACCCTCCACCAATGCCATGATAGCAAACAAGAGACCAATATGATCTCTTGCATCCGTTTCTCTCGCTCTCAATATGCTCGTGACCTATTTTGTCAGTATTCCACTAATGAGTTTCCCCAAAAAAATAGAACTCCAATTAATCCCCTCTTTCATTTCTTCTTTCTANCAATTTCATATTTAAATAAAGGCTTAAATGCTTACTTGGTCCCTATGTCCAGTGATAATTTTTAGTTTAGTACCCAATTTTAAAAGTGCATACATTAGGTCCCTAAGTTTTCAAAATTGTATAACTGAAGTCCTATCCGTTAAGTTGGTAGAAACGACGATAAATGTTAATTGATGTGGCAAAATACATATCCAATGTGGAAAAATTTAAATACCATCACCTTCTCTCTCCCACAAAAGGTAATAATTTTAATCATTTTGAAAAATCTTAACAAATAAAGGTTTTATTGCCTAGAATCTTTTTCCAATTCTCTTTCCCTACAAAGACTCCCATCATCAAAGCGTAGATTTCACCCAAACTCTATCGATAAAACCGTTGCGCTTGTAGAAAAAATAAAATTTTTTCTTTGCTCCCATGGCTTCCTTGTGTCGCGGTTATTCGAAGACCCAAATGTGCTTCTTCAAGATTCTCCACATAATTTCGTCCACTCCACCCTCTACAAAACAACGAGAAGAACAACAAGAATCCTTTCCCAGCAAAGGGGTTGGCATCGATTTGAATCTCAGATTCTCTTCCCTTACAGAATCAAAATCTTCTAGAACCGACAGGGCCTCCGCCACGCTTCTGAACAACATCGAAGAAGAGCAAGAAGAAGGGTTTCCAGGTAAGAGCTTTCAACTTTCAGAGAAACTTAACGACAACCAAAATCTTAACAATGAAGTTAACGACGTTCAAACGTCATTTCAGGGATGCGATAGTAATTTTCTCAATTTGCTTATAAAAGCAACGAGCGTCGTCTCTAGAAAAGACGAGTCCAACTCGGAGGAAGAGAGGGGACTTGGTATTGAGTCAACGACTCAAAAAGAAAATCAAGAGAAATGGAAAGAAAGGTCGGTGGTTATTGATATATACGGTGGCGTTTTGGAGGAGAAAGAACCAATGGTCCGATCCAAGCGAGGGAGGAATCAAGCGTTGTCGTATCGATTCAGAGACTCGGTGGTTGAACCGTTGAAACACGCCACTCGTTCTCAGAGACCGTCATCAACCTCACACCTTACAAAACAACTTCTTAAGGAAGAATGAAGCAATGCTAAGATTTCCATGGAAGAGAAAGGAGTAACCTGCAGCTCCACCATTCTAGAAAAAAGAGAAAAGGAAATTGGGGATTGGGGTTTGCAAACCCGCGAGAGAAAGAGAACCAAAATTGGGGATTTATTTCCCCAATTAAAAACTAGCTCCACCATTGTAGAACGAAGAGAAAAGGAAATTGGGGATTGGGGTTTGCAAACCCACGAGAGGAAGAGAACCAGATTTGGGGATTTATTTCCCAATTAAAAACCCTAAACTTTCAATATATACGTAACCCAAAATCTGCTTGCCACGAGATCATTTCTTGCATAGCTCACATCTACAGTAACCTCAATGTTATCAATTTTAACACCATTAAACGGATAGGACTTCAATTATACAATTTCAAAAACTTAGGGATGCAATGTATGCACTTTTAAAACCAGGTACTAAACTGAAAATTACCACTGAACATAGAGACCAAGTAAGCATTTAAGCCTTAAATAAACTCGATACATGTCCACAATCCATGAAGCATCAACGATTCAAAATAAGCATGCATTGAATCCATATATAAATCACTTCAAAACAAAGAATAATTAGAAAATCACAAAAAACATTAACACTCAGACTAACGCTTAGTGCAAAACCCCTCGCAACATGGAGCACTCAACACTAAAGCTCTCGCATCTTCATCTTCAGTGGTAATTGACACTCAACCGTACCTTGTCATTACTCAACGCTAAACCATTCGATATTTTTGGTCGCTCAGTGACACAAACCTAGTGCTCAGCGGTCTGGAGCTGAAATGCTCCTAGACCTTCACTACAAATCGATCACTCAACGCCATATTAGGGCTGCTAAACGCCATACCAGAAAACAAAAATTTCAACACTTTGAATTGGTGAACCAGAAACCTGTTCAAATGACCAAATTGGTAACTCTGATGCACTGAATGATACAAGAATAGGTTTAGGTGTCTGAATGAATACCAATTTACTCAAATTGCCAGATTTTCAATCTTTCAACTTAACACCCATAAGACAATTTCAAACCACACAAAATCAATTCACTCCATCATATTATTTAACCATTAAACCATCAATTAGATAAACAAACAATGATAACTCTTAAAGAGAAGTCAAATAATTCTAAAAAAAATGATTTATAAAAAAAATAATGTTTTAAAAGAATACAATTCATTTGTAATAAATTCTTTATATTAAAACTATTTAATATTAAAATAATAAAATTTCAGTATTTTTAAACCACTGTAATTTTCTAAATCTTTACCCTTTCTCTTTTTGTCAATTAACTTTATTAAGAACGGCTTTCGAAAATTCTTCTTAGAATCAGTTCTATAATTTGATGTATTGAGTTTTTAACTCGAGAAACTCAACAAAGATGAAATGTCAAAATTTTGCATCTTCATTTCTTTTCTTTTCTACAACTTGATTTAGAAGTCTCAAACTCGTCAATTTTAATTTCTGAACAATAGGATTCTTTTTTCGTTTTTGATCATCATTCTTGTACTGTAGTTTAGATAATATAACAACCATTGAATTTACTCCACAAATTGTAAGTAAAAATATATTATATTTTTGGTTCAGCCAGTGACTTTGTGGGAGGAGAGGGTGGAGGGAGAAGTTGGCCAGGATGGTGTCGGAGCAGGTGGAGGCAATGACAGTGGGATCCCATGCCTGGAAACATTTATGGTAGCGGAAAGCAATTGCATAACTTAGATTCCTCCATTGTTATCTTAGATGGAAATCCAACAATAGAAATGTCAATAAATTTCAAGACGTAAATTATCAAGCTAAACAAGTTCGAATCAGATTAAACTAAAAAAATGTTAAATGTAAGTTAAATAGATTTCAACCAAACTAAAAGTCAATTTGGTAATCCACCAACAACTGTTATTAACTTTTATCATTTTTTATAAATTTTTTATTATAATTATTTCATTAGATTGACAAATTGAAAAATTTTAAATACAAAAATATTATTTTATAATATTTGAATAATTTAAATATTTAATTTATTTATTTGTCAAATTATATAAATTTTCATTTTAATTTTTCACTACTATATTTATAAGTAAACACTTTGTATTGTTATAAAAAAATTGAATTAACCCACATTAATTGTTCTTCACTAAATATACATAATATTCAAAACAATAAAATATTTTTAAATATTTTCAACTATTAATTTTATAATAATATTTAATAAAATATGCAAACAATTTATATTTATATAAAAAAATAAATTGAATCAATTCACCTCATACTTCAATAAATATATAAAATAATTTAAAAAATAAAACATTTTTAAGTGACATTTTTAAGCGATAGATCAAATCATATAGAATTTCTTGCTAGTCAAAAGGGAATTAAGTTTAATAACTCATTTTTAGTTCATGTAAGCCGAATTAGCTAACTTTAACATTGGTATCCAACATCTACTTTATTGAACACAATCAATCAAAACGGTTACAACGGTAAAATGTTTCATTTCCAGGAATCTATTACAACAGATGAAAAACAAATTTGGTCACAGGGTAAACTTACAGTCACAATGAAATTTCAATCATTTACAGTGGTTGGAGGGGAAAAGATCTAATCTTGCATACATGCATGTGAATAATCTGTCAGTCCTCCAAACTATTGAACAGAAACATGGACCAACATCTAATTCAGCTATACATACTAATCTACAACACTGTTTAACCATGTAGCAAGACCAAAGAGACATGCTGCCCAAGGTTCTGCACAGAATTCCCCAAATTAAAGTTGTAAAAATGTCCATTCCCACGGTTTGGTTTTGCGCATGTATATATTGTTATATTATATACACACAGAGACCTAATCTAATGCACAACTCCATGCCCAGTAGCTAAGAATGTTTCCTTTCCCATTTCCCTTCACGTCTGCTGTCTCTGTCCCTACGTTCTCCAAGTTGCCTTGACTTGCTTCCTCTTGAACTGTGCCTTTGAGAACCGTATCCACTAGACGGGCCTTCAAATGCTGAGACTAATTCCGGATCTCCAATGCTGCTGGTGTCCCCTGAATCCTTGCTTCCGTCAACATTTTCTTCGTACATGCTGCCGGTGTCATCCTGTCGGTCACGCGACTGTAAAATAGTAGGAAGTTGTCCCGTGAATGTCCGAGATCCTGAAAGAACTATAGTCGGTGAGGGTACAATTGATGAGCTGGTGGAAGGAATTTCAGACTGTAAGCTTCCACTACCAGCTCTAGTGCTCCCTTCATTACCAGATCTTCCATTTTCTCTTTCGCGGAATCTATCCCTGGGTCGGCTGAAACAAGTTGAGAAACCCAGAAAACCACATGAAGCAATTTATAATGCCAGCCTCGAAACTAACAATGAGTCAAGTATTTTAAGAAAAACACAACAGAAGAGGATGTAATAGTAGCGAAGAGACCAATAGAAAAGGACTCAAACTTTTAAAATGATTCTTGGACCATGGCATGGGATTTTCAGGTCAGGTCACATGTTAGGCCACATCAAAATTACAAGCCACTTCTACAGATAATTATCCCTCTCCCCCCTTGAAAAATAAATATTATTCATTAGGAAGGAAACATAACCAGAGCTGACAATGATATTCTTCGAAAGACAAAAACAAAACTTAAAACAACACAACCAAAAAAGAGACAGGAAGGAAACTGCCATTACTGCGCCAAAAGGCCAAAAATACAGCTAGAAGTCACCCTCCACCAATGCCATGATAGCAAACAAGAGACCAATATGATCTCTTGCATCCGTTTCTCTCGCTCTCAATATGCTCGTGACCTATTTTGTCAGTATTCCACTAATGAGTTTCCCCAAAAAAATAGAACTCCAATTAATCCCC